TTGGAAGGGAAGACCGTTAATATTGTGACATTGCACGAAAGAAATGTACCAACCGATACACTGTATTTTGGAAGAGGGCTTTATGTTGATGTTTTATGTTTGTGTTCGTTAGTGTTTGTCTTTTTTTTTTTAAATAAAAAACTTCATTAAAAAAAAGACAACTGTATGCAACAAAATTTCATTTTACTATATGCCAATTCAATGTATATGTACATTCAAACTGACAATAAAGTTATTCGAATATATATGCATTTTCTATTTAGATATAAATAAAGATGGGAAATTAACGAGAAGACCATTTGACAAACTTAGACCTCCAAATATCTTGGAATTGATTCCTTGGGCCTCAAGAGCCTGCAGGCCCAAAACCAATTTCCAAGAGAGGAGGCCGGTCTTCAGAGGTGGCCACATTCAGCAGGTTCTGACCAGTTCTGGAGAACCAGTAGTGGAAATTTTGAGTAGTTTGGAGAATCGGCAAATCCCACCTCTGACTGGAGATTTTACAGTATCCTTCCCCTGCCACGCCCACCAAGCCACGCCCACAGAACCGGTAGTAAAAAACTTTGAATCCCACCACTGCCGGTCTCCATCTTAAAGCTCTTCCACAAAAGAGGCAGCACTTCCATATCAGGTGGGCTGAAAGCATCTGAGGCAAAAGAGGAGGGGGCTGCTCTTTTACGGCTTCCAAACGCTAGAAAGTCAGGTCTTTTAAGGGACACTTTTCCTGGCCCAAACTCAGTCTTTTGGGCTGCAATGATTCTGCCAAGTGCCGAAAGCCTCATCACTTTCATCGGCTTCCCAAGCAGTTTGGCGGCTTTGAGCCCCCAAGATGGAATTTGGCCTCCTTGATGGAAATCCCTTTTGCCCTTCCTCAGGCAGTGGGCACCATCACCCACCCATGGACGAAGGACCAGCAGGCCAGAGAGACTGGCTGACCGGAGGTTTTTGGCTCCCTCTTGCTTCATCCCAGGGACGCCAGATAAAAGGATGGCACCCCAAAATGCAGAAGAGCCTTCACATTCATCGGCTCTTCTGCAGAGTTTGTCGCGGCCCTCCAGAACAGCCTCTCCACCACCCCTGTGGACAGGGGGAATAAACCCAGCTGCCACATAGCCTCTTTTGCAGATTCAGTGTGTGTGTGTGTGTGTGTGTGTGTGTGTGTGTGTGTGTGTGTGTGTCTTTCTCCCCGTTTATAGCACAAGAGCCAACCAGGTCTGAGAACAGCTGCTCCGGCACAATATTCGCTGGGCTCACACCCGGTCACAGCAAAAGCGGCAGGTGGATCCTGTTCCCCTTCAAAGAATCTTCCCACCACAACTGCCAGCAGCCAACATGCATGGAAGGCGGGGGGAGCGGGGAGAATCGGGGAAGTCTGGAAACAGCCAAGCAGAGGCCAAGGATTTGGGGAGCGAAGGCTGAGATCCTGACATCCTGCTTGGCGGTAAAAATACTGATGCCAAAGAATAGGCAATTTCACACAGGAAGGACTTTTGTCAGCCAAGTTCAGACCAACTCAGAGGTAAGCTGAGTAAATAGCTGGAAATCAGCTGGTTTGTTTTGCCCTTTCAGAAGGGTGGAAATGGGGGTCTTAGCACATCCCATGGGCTTGGCCCCTTCTGCATCCATTGGCGCTGCTGCCTCTGGGATCAGAGGGTGGATCTCAGCATTGGTTCCCAGACTGATATCCCCAGAGAGGAGAGCTGGACCAGACAGAAAGAGGAGGAGGAGGAGGAGGCAGGAGAGGGGCTGGTGAGCATTTTGCACAGGCCCAAAATGAAACCCAGCCTGGATCCTTTTATTATGTGTGTCTTATTAGTCATACAAGAATACACACTTTTCTGAGATACTGAATGCTGACCATATAGAGCCACGATAGCTCCCTCGCACTGGTCGAGTCTAACTGCAGAGAAAGTTCCCAGGGGAGACCCGCACTGACGTTCCTGTTTGCAAAGGAACCGGCCTCCCTGGAGAAGCCACTGCTGTCTGAGGCTGTCCCTGGAGGCCCCAGTCGGTTGGTCAGGCAGGCCCCGGTTCTCCCAAGAGACAACTAGGGACAAGAGGCCACCTCTTGGCAGCCAAGGAGCCTCTGAGGGGGGAAACCAGCCTCCACACGAGAAGAGCCGAGAGGCTGGAGCTGCGCCCTCCAGAAGACAGGTAGAGACAGGTAGTCCTTGACTTACAACCGTTCATTTAGTGACCTCTGAAGTTATAACTGCACTGAAAAAAGTGACTCCGACCACTTTCCACAACCATGGCGCGCGCGCACACACACACACACACACACACACACACACACACACGGTCACAGGATCAAAATCAAGCGGATTCTCTAGACCCCGTTTGGCAGAGCTGTAGGAAACAGGCGGACGGGAGAAGACCGAAAAGAACCAAGCTTAGGAAACAGATACAGAATGCTGGGTAGCCAGTTTGGTCAGTAATACGTGTGAAAAGGTTTTTAACTGAACCTCACCTGACTGACTACATACTGAAAGCTGTTTTCTTGGAACGCTCAGAGGTAAAAGGAAATGAGGTGGCCAAAACCCCACAAGGCTTACACCCTATTAGAATCGATCCCAGCTGGGCATAAAACAGCTGAAAGAAGCCTCACAACACTGGAAAATGTAAAGAGAGCTGGTCCATGAAACCGCTGAGATTCAGACCCAACTGAACAGAAAGCATCGCTATGAACTGGATAGGGAGCAGCAGCGCGATATGGTTGCAAAACTACAGGACGTTTTTGATTCCTCACACCAGGATTCAGAGAAACTGGAACAGGTTTCAGTGCAGCTAGGAAGATTGGGGCCTAGAAACAAATTCCCTTGACGAGAGACTGAAGGAGCTGCAAGACAGAGGACCAAGAGGGATGTTGTAGACAGTCCAAAGTTCTTTTTTTATCATTCCAGAGTGCAGCACATAAAGCAATGCATTTAAGTTACCAGAAAGACGGATTCCAACTGCACATTAATAAAAGCTTCCTTCTGGTGGGTGCTGTGGAGCCAAGGGCCAAAGCTTGTTCACTGACAGGAAAAGTCAAGGTCATTTGTTGGTGTCGGCCTTGGTCATCATCGCTTTCCTTCAAGCTTGCTGCCAACTGCTATGGAAATGGGGGAGGGAGGGAGCAATGGGCATTTGGGAGGGGAAGCATGCAAGTGGCGTGAGAGTAGAGGGGGAGTTTGGACTCAGAGAGGCCAGCTCGGGTTGGTTAAGGCCGTCTTGGGAACAGCATGCACAACAGCGGCATGGAGCACCTGGACCTGAGACATTCCCAAAACATCTTCCTGGCCAATGATTGGACTCTGTCTACCTGACTACTGGGGGTGGGGCCGAGTTTCAGTGTGTCCTTTTCACACCTGTTTGCTTCAGACCTTGCCTGACTTTTGCTGCATTCATTCTTAGTAAAAGTACCTTTTCTCTGAATCTATGGAGTCAAGGGTTTTCTTTCCTAGGAATTGATCTGAGACAACCCTGACAGTTGGATACTTCCAGTGGGACAGAATCCTGTATGTCCCAACTCCAAGCCTCCCACTGGCCAGGGCAAAAGGTGAAGCAAATGCATGTGACAACTTGCAGCCCCTGAAAGTGACCAAGAACCCTCTGTGCTGCCATGTACCTGATGAGTCCACCTGAAAAGTAGGTTTGGGCTATCTACTTCTGTGCAACTTCTCCTAAGTATGTGCAGATGTGTTCCTCCCAAAGACAGCCAGTTTGGTCCAGTGCTGGGGGCACCAGGCTAGAAACCAGGAGGCAGTGAGCTCTAGTCCCGCCTTGGGCCCAAAGCCAGCAGGGTGACCTTGGGCTGATCCCTCCCTCTCAGGCTCCGGAAGGAGATCATGGCAAACCACTTCTGAGAAGCCTTGCTAAGAAGACTGCTGGGACCTGTCCAGTCGGCCACCAGGAGAGATTGGCCATCAACTGATTCGAGCCCAGAAAAGCCTTCCCAAGCGAAGCAAAACCTTCCCAATGACAATGACAGAAGCAGGGCAGGAATATTGGAAATACCTGGCATCTCAAAAGATAACTCTATTCAGTCTGCAGCCTTCAGCTGCACCAACAAGAGTGTATCTTCCAAACCAGAAGTCAGGGATCCATTTCATTTTGCTTTGGTTAGATCCACTTTCTGCAGCAAATCCAGTTCTGAGCACCACACTTCAAGAAGGATTTAAGCAAAATTGATGGGGATAGAGAAGGGCAAGGATGGTGTCCACCAAATAAGAAGCCAGATCCTATGAAGAGAGCTTGAGAGGAGGAGGGCCCTCTTTAATGTCCTGAAAGGATATCACACAAGTTCAAGACTGGTTCTATCTTGTATCAAGGGGGCAAGACCCAGAATAACAGGTTTGAGTAATAAGGAGGCAGATTTCAAGTTAAAATTTACCATATAAGTGACCTTGAGTTGTGATGAATTATGGCAATACAGAAATGTTTTAATCTGCATGTATAAAAGTAAATAAAGATTTTAAAATTCCCAATAAAGACTGTGGAACCAGAGAACTGGCGGGCTCTTGTTCACAGAGGTCCAGCTTTCAGGAAGTCTGGATTTCTGTGCTCAGTCTTGTGTCTGGCTTGATGGTTCCTTTGATCTACAGAGTCCTATAATGCTGTATTTACGTCAATGAAGCGAGTGGATTTACTAGATTTGCCAGCAGGGCAGAAAAGAAGCAATTTATACAAATGGGGCTCGTGAAGCAGCTCTCCTTTGCTCATGTGGCCCTCTACAATGTAAGATCTGAAGAATCATTTAGATGATTTCATCAGGCTTCCTGGGAGGGAATCCCTGGGGAGAGGAGAAAGCCAGGGCTTCCTTCTGAAGGAGAACCAAGGTGGAACTCGAGTCCGGTCCCTGGGAACTTCAAGGGATCCAGCTACGGTGGCCTAGGAGGTTTTCTTTCATTTCAGGCCCAGCTGGGTGGGATGGTGAAGGAAGAGGGCACAAAGCAAAGGCCATGGAGGAGGGAGGGAGGGAGGGAGGGTGGGAGCTGGGTTGGCAGCATTGGACTTACCAAGTAGCTCTACAGAAGAATGTGGGAAGGAGAAAAAGAGGAGAAAGACAAGAATGTGTGAAAGAAGGCAGGTACACCGATTCCGCCCCCCCCCCGCCCAAACTCCTCTGCCTCTTTCCCCCAGGGAGGCACCCCTCCCCCTCCCTGCGATTAGCTTTTCAATCACACCTGGATGGAGCAAGAGGTTCCCCTTGAGCAAGGGCCTTGCAGGAGGGCAGAGCGAAATCGGAGAACGCCCCAAAGCCGCCACCTGGAGCACATTTCAGGTCCCACACAATCTTCAACGGAAGCCTCCTCCTCCTCCTCCTCCTCCCTCTCTTCCTACCAGATGCAGAACCTTCTGGAAACATCTGCCTCTTTCCACCCCATCCAGGGAAAGCCAGTGGATAGGTGCTCAGGTGCCGCTTGCTCTCCTTCCAAAGGGCCATGGCCAGGAAGGCCAACGAGAAACACTGGGAAGGGGGAAGGGGGCTTCTAGGCAGCCGCCTTTCTTTCTGGCATTCCAGATGTCAGCTGCTGCCACCTTTCAAGCCTGGAGAGCAACAGCAGCTGAAATCTCTCAAGGAGGCAAGTTCCAATTAAGGCTGCCCTTCCCTTTCCCTGTCCTGAGGAGGAGACTGTCCACTTCTACCAGCCTGGCCGCTGTCCCTGCAATCACCTCGTCTTCCTTTCCACACCCTCAGATCCTCACCTTTGCGGGCTTTCTTCTGGAGCTTCAGGGTGTCAGAAGACTTCTTCTTTATCTCGTGGCGGGCTCGCTTGTACTCTGAAGAGGCAGGAAAGAGGCCACCGTGAAGCTCCCCCACAGCTATAGGCTTTCCCAGGGGCAGAAGACAAGCACTGAGGGCCATGACCCACAGCTTTCTCCCATTTCCAGTCACCCCAGGTGCCCGCACACCCTGCCAGCTCCTTCCCTGCGTGGCCCGAGCCCCCGGCTCCAAGGGGCAGCTGCTCTACCTTTCGCGTGGTCCTTGTCAAGCTGGTTGGCGGTCTTCTTCCAGTCCTCGATCCTCTCCTGCAGGGGGTTGATCAGGCTCTCCATGAGGGCACTGCAGCCGTAGAGAAAGAAGAGGTGAGCTTCCTCTGGGGCAGCTTCCTTCGGCCAGGGCCGAGAAGAGCAGCGGAGCAGCTACCCCTTCTCTTGAAGCAGCGCCGGGGGGGGGGGGGAGGATGAGGATGCCTCCAGCCAGCGAGAGCCACCTTCCTCTTTTTTTGCCCTAAACAAATCGGCCTGGAAATGGGATCCCTTTTGAACAGTGTGTGTGTGTGTATGTGTGTGTGTGTGCATGTGCGTGTGTGTGTGTGTGTGAGAGAGAGAGAGAGAGAAAAACACACACAGAAAACGCTGCCTTGCCAAGTGACGCCTTCTGGAACCAAGCACAGCCTCCATACCCCTCAGCCCCAGCTCCTCCTGCTTCCACTGGGCATGAAGCCTTTCCGGGCGCAGGGATAAAGGGGAGGGCTCAGAATGGGCCCAGTGAAGGCTTTCTAGAGCCAGCATGCCCTGCATTTCTGATCCTGATTGCAGCAAAGGACAGTACCCATTGCCTGCCGACATGCCAATCGGGCTACTGAGCAGCCCAGTGGATCCCCCCAACTCCCCAGGTTGCAGGTTTTGTGGGCACCTCTGCTCTGCATGTCAGAAAAATGCCCGGGACTCCCAACCTCAGGGGGAGGGAGACCAGCCTGGAGTGCGAGAAAGGCCCCCCTGGCCTGAGGGAATTGGCCACCGAGCAGAGGGAGCAAGACTGGTCCAGGAAGTGGCCGCCTGCTCCAGAAGGCCCCCCCCCCCCCCGTCAAAGTCCATTGCTCCCCATTATTTCTGAGAGGGAAATGTCTCTTGGCAATGGAGCTGCACAAGAGAATCAGCACACTTACTTGGTGAAGTACCTCAGCTTGGTCTCGATGCTGCGGTGGCGCATGCACATCCGGGTCAGTGCCGAGCCGATATCCCTTGTGGCTCCTGGAGAGAAAAGAGGCTCCTCTGTGATTAACTGGCAAAGGCGGGGAGCCCACTTTGGAAAAGACTGAAGAGACAGACCAGCAAAGCCATCATGGACTAGGTCAGCCCACCCTGGGTCTCCTGGAGGGCATGGGCCAAAGGCCTCCACAGGAGGCAGGCTGGAGACATCTCCCAGAGCCCCCCCCCCCCCCCGCAAGGACGACCATCGGTTAAGAGTCGCGATGTCCTCTGGCAGCCGCCATCTTACCTTCAAGGATTTTGTTCTCTGATCAGTTCCACAATCCAACCCTACCCAACCATATCTGGCCCATGCTGTAAGTTCCCTCCCACCCCCCAGGAAAAACAGCCAGCTGGAAGTCTTCACCTTGGGCAACAGCAGCAGAGTCGTGCCACAAGGAGGCCCAGGGGCCAGGAAGCACGAGACGGGAGGAAGCCCCCTCTTCCCTGGAATCTGGTGGAGGCCTCCCTCCAGGCTGTTGCAAAGCCTAGCAGAGTCCCTCACTGCTCTGGCCTCTGCCCCCAACCCCATGGAAGCCAGAGCCTCTCTGGGGTGCCATCTATAAAGCAGATTCTGAGCATTCCTCTCAGGAAAGAAAAGAGGGGGAGAAAGGGCCAGCCACCCCATATCGCTTTGGAATCGTTGGGGCAGGCTGCTTTGGGAGCTGGTGGCTTGTTCAGAGCCTGTGTGCTGTCCCAGCCAGTCTATGGGAATTGGATAGTTACTTAGGAATTATGAGCTGTCCCCTTAAGGGAATGCTTCATGGGAAATGTAGTTAAAGGTATCCTGGGAAATGTAGTTCATGTCACGTGGCCACATCTGTAATCCTGATTGGTCACTAAATTGACCCTCGAAGGGTTGGGGGAGGTTTCTTCACTCTTGCCTGAACTCTCTAACTCATGGCAGCTTCTTTCTATCGCTACGAGATGGGTTAGGAGATAACCTCTTTTACTTTTCTGCCTTCTGCACAGAGGTGGATTTGAAGCTGTACAGATGCAGATAGACAACTCAACAAGACGTCCATAACAAGTTACATTTATTAGTTCATCAGGTATCCTCATAACCCACGTTTGTGACGAAGTTCTTCTTTAATGACCAATCCTTTGCATATCTGCCTTGTAGTAAAAGAAGGTTATCTCCTAACCCATCTTGTAGCAATAGAAAGAAGCTGCCATGAGTTAGGGAATTCAGGCAAAAGTGAGGAAAACCTCCCCCCAACCCTTCGAGGGTCAATTTAGTGACCAATCAGGATTACAGATGTGGCCACGTGACATGAACTACATTTCCCAGGATACCTTTAACTACATTTACCATGATGCATTCCCTTAAGGGGACAGCTCATAATTCCTAAGTAACTATCCAATTCCCATAGAAGAGCTGGGACAGCACAGCCAGAGAATCAGAAGTAGCTGGAAAACCCTGGACTGTCCAAGTTTTCTCTTCAAAAAGAATCCGCTAGGAATTGAAACCGGAAAAAGACTCTGAGGTAAACCTGCCTCTAAAATCAAAGGTTGCCAACACTTTTTCTCAACCTCCTTCTATTCACTTTCAACAAATCTCCTTAAAGAAACGCACCAAGGTTCTAATTCACTTCCCCACATTGAGGCCGCCTCTCCTTCAGACTACCTGGCCATCTGGAGAGCCCTTCGAGCCCCCATGGCTGCCTCGGATTTCATGAATTCCTCCATAGGAAACTTCACCCAGGTAGAATTTCCTCACTAGAAGCCCCTCACAGACAAGAGGGGGGGGGGGGGGAGCTTGGGGGTCAAAGTGAGGGAGAGACAGAGTTGGCTAAAAGCGGTGGGAGAAGGTGGGATGGGGCAAGGCGGGCATCCCCTCTCTCTCTCTCCAGGCCAACTGAAGGATTTCAGCGGCTACCCTCCTCCCCCAGGGGGGCACCTGGGAAGAGTTTCTCTGGGCCCCCCCCCCCCCCCCCGCACAGAGACTTGCCACCCTTAGGTGGCCCAACGCCACCCTCACCCTGAGACCGGCTCCCTCCCTGGTTTCTTGAAGGGTCTCCTGGAGTAGTTCAAGATGCCCACCTACCCCAAATGGAGGTTTTGCCACCAGAAGTGCAACCAGGCCCTTCTTGGGGGTGGCTTTTTCTCCCCACCCCTCTTGCCCTTCTGCCCTCTCTTCCAAAGGGCTGCAGCCCTCTCAGCCCTCTCCTAGATCCCCTGGCAGGGAAGCCCCCCAAAACCAGGGTGGGGATTCAAACCTACCATGGACACAGTTATTAAACACGCACTGGTTTGGCTAATAATTGCGATTTTAAAAACTGGGGAGCAGGGGCGTTAAAGGAAACATATGGAGGGGATATATGTGAAAATACACACACACCCCTTTAAGAATCTTTCTCTTGTTGATGCAAAGGCCTTTTTAAAAGGATCCTTGCATTCAACTTCCTTTCTGGCTAAGGCCAGATGAATACATGCAAACATCTGTGCATGGGGAGGGGAGGGACAAATCCTGCAGCAGAAATCCACTCTCTGCCCAGAGTCACTGATGCTCCTCAGAGTCTCCAATTCCTCCTCCCTAGCCAATCTGCGATCCAGACTGAAATTCACCAGCAACCAACCCTTTCTGAGCACGCCAATTCTCTCTGCTCTGAAGCTTCAAACAGGAAAAAAAAATGCTCTGAAATGTTCCATTTTCAGGCTGACTCTTCTCCGGGAACCAAAGGACCAGACCAAAAATAAAAACAGGAATGTACGTGCTTCTCATACCAGGAACCCCATCCACACAAGGGATGGACCAAACGGGAGGGTAAGAGCCCCAATTAAAAGGGGGAGGGGGCAGCTGCTCGCTCCCTCTTTGGAAGATGACCTTCCCGGCCCCAGGCCCAAGTTCATGGGGTGGTGCCAGAAGGAGAGGGATTCCCAGAACTGGGCCAATGAAACTCCCCCTCCAAGCCCTGGAAGGGCCTTCCCAGGGGGTACACCATTTTGCCTCCCCAAAGCTCCCCATATCTCCTTACCTCTGGTGTTGGTGGCCATGTCTGCCACTCTCTGGAAGGCCTCCAGGAAAGCCACTGCAGCCAATATGGTGGTCCTAGGAAGAAAGAGGGGCTCAGGTTGAGAGGGGGGCTTTTGTGGGAGAGCGGAGTGACAAGACACGGGAGCCTCAGATGGGGGAAGCTGCAGGGCTTGAGGAAGGCAACCTTGGCAGAGACAGACAGAGGCAGCTTCCCAGGCAAAAGGGGGCTGGAGCTTTTTGAAGTCTGGAGCAGGGAAATAACCTTTGGAAGGGACTCAGGCAGACCCTCCCCCAACTGTCTGGGACAGAAGAAGGGAAAGGGGGCAGTGTGAAGTCCCTTTATTTTTAGCCAATCTCAATGCAATGAGATTTACACTACCTGCCAAGTTGATTTCCTGCCTGGGCTTGCTCCTCTCACCAACCCAAACACCTACTCAACTGCCTTCAACCGGACTCTCCCTAGTAGAAAAATCAAATGTGCCTGCTGGTCTGGAAAGACTCCTCCTTACATCAAAAGTGTACAGAACCTCAGCATGACACAAACCAAGGCAACACACAATCGGGTCGAGTGAAACAAGAAGACCCGGCTTATGGCAAAAGGGCTTTCCCCAAGTGAAGACCTTCCTCCTTTCTCTAGGATGGCAGAAGAGGGGGCCAGCCTAGGCGACTCCAGCTATTGAGACCTTCCAGTCCGAAGCAGCCTCTTGCGCTCAGCTGGAGCAGAGATGGGGTGTCCTCTGCATACGAATGACTCCTTAGACAATCAGGCCCAGATGGATATTTAGGTGGATGCATCCAAAAACATGGAATTATAAACACCACCAAGTTCTCTTGCACTTCCTGCCCATCTTCAATACGTGTTATCTGAAAGAGAAGCTGACCAGGAGCTCTTCTGCAGACACATTCCTGGCAGGCAACCCCTCTTACAAGCAGAGGCATCTATCTAGCACGCACTTGTTCTACTCTTGTTTTCTTCGCTGTGCAACTGCTTTAGTGCAGGGACACACGGGTGGAGGCAGCATTTGGAGCAACCAATCATCCCAAAGGATGCAGCTGCTTTAATGCTTTGAGGAGAGGTGCTTCTTTTTCACACCAGTGTACTTCACAATGCACCTTCTTTGAAAGCTCTGCACAGCCTTAGCAGACAGGCTGCTGTGTCGTCTTCTTCCTTCCTTAGGAGGGAAAGGTAAGACAAAAGCACGTTGTTGACTTTGAGGGGAAGTTTGTTACAAGCTGCTCCTTAAAATTCTCTGCCAACCTGCAGTCCAAACTGCAGTCAGCCCTTTGTTCACTTTTCTGTTCCCTGGAAACTGGCTACTTTATATTCCCCCCTACAACAAGAGGCCCTGAGAAGAAGCACTCGCTGAAAGGCTCTTAGGACGCATCCCTTGGGTTCAAGGCATCCCCCTTCTACCCTACGCAACGTATTGAAGGGGATAGTAATAAATAAATAAATAAATAAATGTAGCAAAATATATTATAGCATTAAGTAGAGAGTAGGCATTTGTTATCTTGCTGTTGTAAAATAGATTTCCTTAACCTTTCACTTGTTTTAAAACAATTATAAACACATGCCTGCAATCAGTTATATTCCTGTAAGCAATGGACTTTTTCCCCTTCAACCAAAAAAAGAATGAACTTCTGAAAGCCAGGCACTTCAAAAGGAATTCTTTTTTAAAAAAAACAAAAAAACTTTATTGATTACAAAACCAAAATATCAAAAAAACAACAACACACAGAAGACGAAAGAAAAGAAATAGAAAAAAAGAAAATGATTAAAAAACTAACAATTCTACTATCGACAGTCTATGGTTCCTTGTTTGTTATCAATATTGGTGATACATTTACAAATACATCTTATTGCAAATATATAATTATGATTTACATTTTACGTTATTTATTAATATATTTTCTATTTTTGTTCTATCCAGTCATACCAGCATTCCCAGCTTCTATAATATTCTGATGTTTCTTTGTCCTTAAGTGCTAAGGTTAACTTGTCCATCTCTGCACAGGCTGTTATCTTCTGTATAACCATCTCCTCTGTTGGAATATCTGCTTGTTTCCAACACTGTGCAAAGGTTATTCTGGCCGCAGTAAGAATATGCAGTATTATATATTTGACATTTTTAGGAATGTGTCTATTAAATATCCCCAATAGGAAGAACTCTGGTTTTAATTCAATTTGCTCTGCCGTTATTTTCTCTAACCACTTTTTTATTCTATGTCAGTATCTTTGGGCTTCAGTGCAGGACCACCACATGTAAAAGAATGTTCCCTGTTTCTTTTTACATTTCCAGCAATTCAAATTCATTTTAGGAGACATTTTCGCTATTCTCAAGGGTGGAAGATGCCATCTATAAAACATTTTATAGGCATTTTCTTTATATGCTGCTGATCTTGTAATTTTATTATTCCTTGTCCAAACCTTTTCCCATTCTAATAATGTAATGCTACGTCCTATGTTTCTGCTCCAAGCTATCATGTTGCCTTTCACTACTTCCTCTTCTAATTCCGTCTCTAGTAAATAATTATAAAATTTAGTTATATTTTTTTTATTTGGACGTAATAAAATTTTATCTATTTGTTGTGCCTTCCAAAATTTTCAAAATTCCAAAATTTTTCTTGTCCTGGCTATATCTATTTTGAATTTGCAAGTAAGCCCACCGGTCTACTTGTAGCCCCTGTTCTTGGAGATCTTGCCATGATTTTAAAGTTCCTTGCGGATCAAGAAGGTCTTTGTATTTTATCATTTTATTAAGATCTAGATTATTTGGATGTATCATCGCCTCCATCGTTGAGATCCAAATTGGGATTTTTAAATAATGTTTTTTTTTTGTTGTTGTTCCAATTAGCCAATAAGGAATCTCTAATTATATGTCTGTGGAAATACTTCTGCTTAACTTTCCCAATGTCCCATAAAAATGCATGTCATCCCCTCTGTAAATCATGGCCTTCTAAAAATAAGATCCTTTTATTCGACAGATTTACTCACTCTTTCAACCAGAGTAAGGAGGCTGCACTATAGTATAATTCCCAATTTGGAAGTGCCATACCTCCCCTGCTCTTCATATCTTGCATTGCCTTTAGGTTTTTCCTCAGTTTTTTCCCTTGGCAGATAAATTTGGTGATTATCTTAAGTTCCACGAAGTAATTTTTATGTATTTTTATTGGTATTGTTTGGAATAAGTAAATAAATTTGGGCAGAATATTCATTTTTATAGTGGTAATCCTCCCTAATAAGGAGATTTGCAATTTAACCCATATCTCTAAATCTTTTTTAACTTGCTGTAATAATTTATTATAATTATTTTCCATTAGAGTTTTGCATTGAGCTGTCAACCAAATTCCCAGGTATTTAACTTTTTTTACTATTTGTAATCCCATTATCCTTTCCAATTTTAGTTTTTGTTTTTCTGTTAAATTTTTAGTTAATTTCATGTTTTCCCTATTAAGTTCTGTAACTTCCCCAAATTGATCTAACTCTTTCAGTAATTCTTGACCTGTTTCAATTGGTTCCTCTATGAAAAATACCATATCATCCGCAAATGACTGGAGTTTATATTCTTCTTTTTTAATTTTTAGTCCTTTTATTCCTGGGTTCTGTCTAATTCGTGTAAGCAATGTTTCCAAAGATAATATGAAGAGCAGGGGGGATAATGGACATCCCTGCCTAACTCCTTTCTCTATTTTTATTGAGCGCGTGTACTCTCCATTAATTATAATATTTGCCTTTTGTGAATCATAAATTGTAGTCACGATGTTTTCAAACTTAGTGCCTAGATTCATATTGTAAATTTGTTGAATTAGGAATTGCCAATTTAAATTGTCAAAGGCCTTCTGTGCATCCAAGAATACAAGGGCTATTTGTTTTTCAGGGTGGGCTTCGTAGTATTCCAAAACATTTAATACTATCCTTAAATTATTCCTGATTTGTCTATTAGGAAGAAATCCGTTTTGATCTTTATGTATATATTCATTCAATATTTTTTTCAGTCTATTTGCTATAATTGTGGTAAATATTTTATAATCAGTATTTAACAGGGAAATTGGTCTATAGTTTTGTATATGTCGTGAATCTGCTTTCGGAATCAATGATATCAATGTCTCTTTCCATGAATCCGGCATTCTTGCTGCTAGTAGGACCTCATTATATACTTCCACCATAAGGTCTTATTTGTTCTCCTATTTTTTTTATAAAGTTCCCCGGGTATCCCGTCGGGTCCTGGGGTTTTATTGTTCTTTTGGTTTTCTATTGCTGCTTTTAACTCGGGCCATGTAATATCTCTAATTAACATTTCCTTCATCTCCTCCTTGATTATTTTATCTTTAGTAATACCCAAATAGTTTCTTATCATATCCTCATCTACCTCCTTCTTTTTATAAAGATCTTCAAAAAATTTACATGCAATTTCTTTTTTCTGTTCTCTCCCTTGTTGGGCATCCCCATTCTCATCTATTAATTGGTAGATCATTTTTGTTTTTCTTTTTTAAGTTTATAGGACAACCACCTTCCTGGTTTATTGGCCTGTTCAAAAAATATCTGTCTGGCTGTATTTAACTTTGAGACCATTCCTTCTTGTTCGATTAAATTTAATTTATGTTTAGTTATTATCATCTGTTTTTTCAATTTGCAATCTTTTGGGGTGTTTTGCAGCTGAATTTCTAATTCTTTGATTCTTTGTTCTAATTTATTTTGTTGGGCATATCTTTCTTTATTTCTTTTAGCGGTGTATGATATCGTTATGCCTCTTATTATTGCCTTCATTGTATCCCAAATATTCTGTTTCGTAGTTGCCTCATTATTATTTTCTTTTTTAAAATAGTCTAATTCCTCGTCAAGTTTATTCATAAATTCTTTCTCTTTAATTAACTGTGTATCTAAGGTCCACCTTTTCCTTGGTTTCTTCCTGCCTTTCCACATTATCTGAATCGGGTTGTGATCTGCCCATTCATTTGGTAAGATTTCAATCTCTTTTAATTCATTTACTAATTCACCATTCATCCACACCATATCAATTCGTGTCCATGATTGGTGAGGGTTGGAGTAAAATGTAAATTGCTTTTTCTCAGGG